AATGCTAAATATGAAATGATTTCTTGTTTCAACTTTAACTAAAGGTTCTTTTTAAATATGAAACTTAAAACCGCCAGTAGGTGGCAGCAGGTCACTGTCTTAATGAGCGAGTCATTCGTTTAACCGATTCGTTCAAACGGCTGATTCATACAAGAAAGAAACCATTGAATCATTGAATGATTCGTTCGTTTAAAATGCAGAGATTCAGTCAGTTAAAAACATAGACTGTAAAAAAAAAAATCATCGCTTTCTGTTGCATGGAGGCTCGTTCTGCAGTGGTTTCACTTTAAAATTTTCGTTTGCAACACAATATGTTTCTAAAATGTAACTCACAATGTTAACTTTGTTGTTGTATGAAATAAATATCATAATAGTGCTGATATTTGGGGGAAATGGAATCCTTGCTCGAGTGAAATTGTAATATAACTACGTCATTTGATCATGTACTTATAAGAAAATTACTCATTGGGGCAAAGATGCTCTTGTATTTATATTTTAAGGCCATATTCTGCATAACGTCAGTACGTCACACGCAGTGTAATGAAAGCATAACTCGATGTCAGCTCGCACATTATTAAAACAATAATTACAATATCATTTGACGATACATATGACACATCCCTACGCACGTAAATCATGTACATACTTACATTTGAAAAGACATTTACCCATTTTCTTCTCCTCTCTTTCTTTCGCGTAGGCTACAGGAGAGGATATGCTGTCGTAAATGCGCGAAAAGCGAATTGTCACGTGAGCAAATCCGTTTTAACTGTTTTACTGTATTACTTATTTTTTGATAACAGCACAGTTTAACGTTTAAGGTTTAGGCATGTCATGTGCATTGCATTGCAAATGTGTAAGTACACCTCCATAACCTATATTTAAATATTATATATTTAAATGTTAACACAATGTTTTTATATAAGCCATTAGCCTATTACATTTATCAAATATAAGTCGATAAAAAAAACATATTAGGGACATACTGTATGTCACATGTAAGAAATATGCTATATGTGTAGGTCTAGTTTGTATATTGAACATTTATACAAATAAAATGTAATGTATATTGAGAATTATATATATATATATATATATATATATATATATATATATATAATACATATAGACCATTTCACAAGATGTAAACAACACTGGTCCAGAAGCACTTCCTGTTTCAGTTTGTCACTGTTTTCTTTATTTCACATGTAAAGAAAACATCTTAAAGATGTTTGTTTAACTTTTTATTCAGTATTAAATGTTCTGTTGGTTGTATTTTATCCCAGCTTTTATGTAGTGTTAAAAAACTGAAACAGGAAGTGCTTCTGGACCAGTGTTGTTTACATCGTGTGAAATGGTCTATATAAAATATATGGGCTAGTGTTATGTCAATATATGAAATTGTTCCATTTTCTAATAGGTTTTATATATGGGCAGATATATATGTTTTCACTCATGTGTGCATACATTTAATATGCATATTTCATATTTGTACATATATTACATTTTCGTATGGGTAACTTTCATTCTGCCTAGTCAAAACTGAATTACAGATATATCTGTCGTTTTGACTAGTCACAATTATGTTACAGATATCTTGAATGACAATTCCAACTATCCAAAATGTACTTACGACTAGTCAGAAAAGCATGTTGTTGATTTCTACAATGTTAATTCCCGATAGTCAAACTTAACTGTTAAATGTTAAAAGGGCTTGCCATAGAGCCATTTTCTTTCATGGTTCGGTTGAAACACGTCCCATAATCATAGCCCAGTGGAGCAGTATTAGACTAATATTCCAGTCGGATCAAGATCCAAGGGGGGGAGGAGTTGGGTTGGTTTAGGTGTGATCCAGATCCAACTCCTCCCCGTGAATTTCATGTACTGCAGTAGAATCTCAGTATGACAATGCGTAGCAGGTGACAGTAATATGTAACTATGGAAACAAACGAGGGCATAATCAGTCACCAAGGAACACAGCCAAGTGTGCACCACCGAGACACTTAAGTGTGTCTAATCAGGAAACATATTTCGGCTATTTAAATGACCCCTCAACAGCATTTAACAATATTGGATGCATGTTTCTAGTACTTGTATTGCAGAAGAAGAGGATTAACACTGACTGCAGAATTCTGATCTAGCAAGAGAAGGTCGCCTTCATTTAATTAATGTTATTTTAATATTCATCATGTTTTATCCTTATTCATATTGAGCTAACTTGTATAAGTGATTTATGGTTATGAACAGAGCAATGAAGGTTTTTCAGAGCATACTGCTACTCGTCAGCTGCCAGTTCCTGCCCACTCTGGGTAATGTGATTTGGAAGATGTATACATTATATTAACTCCATTTTAAAATGTATTTTGCTAGTGTTTTATAACCGTATGTAATCCATTTTGTGAAAGTGTCTGTTTGCACTCATTTTGCACCGTGTGTTTGCAGCTTTAAACTGTGAAGTGATAAGTGGTAACCTGAAGCAGATAGACGCTGGGTCTGGTTCAGTGGTTGGAGTGAACAATCAAAATGAAGCATTTGTTCTAATTGATAATACCTTCAGAAAGATTGGCACGTCTCTAAAGCACATCAGTGTTGGTCCTGCTGGTCAGCTTGGGGTGAATACAGCTGACCAGATCTTCAAGTTGCAGGGTGGCAGCTTTATGCAGATTCAAGGTGAAAAGAGAAATTCCAGAACTCAATACATGCTTAACCAGTCATTTAATCTTTCATCCAACCAACCTGTTGATTGTACTGTTAGGCCTTCTCAAACAGGTGGATGCTGGAGGTGATCAGATCATTTCAGGCGTCAATATGAATGATGACATATACTGCTTAAATATGGATGCCAACAACCAATGGTCACCCAGCACTCTTCCTTGGCTTTCAATTAATGGAAAGCTGAAGTATTTCAGCTGTGGCCCATACAGCTGTTGGGGAGTGAACGGCGCTGACCAAATTTACATCTTGAAGGTGATGTCACAATGTTAAATACAAGGGCATGAGTTCACGTTTAAATGCACCAGGTTTTTAATGAAGTAGACATCATGCACACTCATATTTTTCTGACAGAACTAAAGAAACTGGTGTGGAAGCAACCAAGGCAGTTATTTCCTATGACTTCATTATGGTTGACTAGTTTGTTTCTCTTGCAGGATGTGTCCAGTACTGAATGTTCTGGGTCCGGCTTTGTGAATATTGGTGGACTTCTGTCCATGATTGAAGTAGCAACTGATGGCAGTGTCTTTGGTGTCAACAAACAAGGGAACTTATTCCAAAGGTGACTAGAACCTTCATCATAACTTCGTATGAACAAAGTGATTATTCAGTTTCTGATAAATCAAACTCTACATTAACGAAACTATAATTTTGCAGAACTAATGTCACTCCAGACAACCCTGATGGCACAGACTGGATCTCGATGGTTGCCTGTCCCAATAAGCACAAGCATGTGAGCTTTGACCTAGGGTTTCTGTGGGTTGTCTGTGCTGACGGCTCCATCCGTAGATGTACTTTATAGTCTGTCATTAATTTGATTTCTCTTGAATCAATAAACAATTATGATTGCATCTTCTGTGTATCTTTTTTTTGTGTTTGTTGTTCAGTGGTTTTTCAACTGGAAAAGTTTTTTTATTTTTTAATGGGCGGAAAGTGTAAACTTGTGCAATCTACTGGCAGCTTGTTTGCCAGTGTTTTCTTTTTAATATATATAGCAACCTTACTTTGGACTTGAATTATGGCAAATACAGTAGTAATATTTTAAGTTTGTATGGGACAACTTTGTTTCATTAACTGACAAATGTTTCACTAAAATATAATCTGTCGTATAACTTTGCAGTCTACTGCTATCTACCATAACATGTAAACCACATGATTCAAAGTTTAACCCCATTGGGTTTCCACAAGCTGAGGTACATTAAAATAATTAAGGTGCACAGTATCATATGTCATCATGATGTCACCATATGTCACCATGATGGCGTTTTATAGACCATTTCACAAGATGTAAACAACTCTGGTCCAGAAGCACTTCCTGTTTCAGTTTTTTAACACTACATACAAGCTGGGATAATATACAACTAACAGAACATTTAAAACTGAATCAAAAAGTTAAACAAACATCTTTAAGATGTTTTCTTTACACGTGAAATAAAGAAAACGGTTACAAACTGAAACAGGAAGTGTTTCTGGACCAGTGTTGTTTACATCTTGTGAAATGGTCTATATTTGTGTGTATTCCACACAAATATAAAACGCCATCATGGTGACATAACTCCCAAAATAATGCCATAAACATTCATTAAACTATATGATGTAACAAACCCAAAATGTGCATAACTGATAATAAAAACATTTTTCTTTAAATGAAATGACATTAAGTGTCACGCAGGAATGTCAATTTAGAGAAACATAAACCTAAAAATGAGAAGAGAGAGCAGAAACACAATAACTACAATTGACTTCAGCCACAGCCTTCGATAAACTGAAGAAGAACATTAAAGGGTTAGTTCACCCAAAAATGAAAATTCTGTCAGTATTTACTCACCCTCATGTTGTTCCAAACCTCGATGTGTTTATTTGCAACGCATTCTCACCCCAAGGCGTCACCTTTGACCATGCTTCAATATTTGACGTTTTAGGCGCCCTTTAGCGTCACTTACATGACGCGATCCTACGGCGTCATCTAACTGACGCTAAAGGAATGCGTCTGTTAGAGGACGCGGTTAGGTTTAGGTGTGGGGTGGGGGTAGGGTACACGCGATCCTAGGGCGTCATCTAACTGACGCTAAAGGGCGCCTAAAGCGTCAGATATTGAAGCATGTCCAAATGCTTCCCAAGGCGTCAGTTAGGTGACGCCTTGGGAGTGAGAATGGGCTGTTATTTGTTCTGCTGAACACAAAGGAAGATATTTGGAAGAATGTTTTAATCAAACAGATCTCATTCCCCATTGACTACCATAGTAGGAAAAAATACACAGAGGAAAATTTTCACAGAGGAAAGTAAGTCATACAGGTTTGGAACAACATAAGAAAGAATAAATGATGACTGAATTTAAATTTTTTGGGTGAACTATTCATTCAAGCCCTATTTGGAAAAATGAAAGCATGACGTTTTCATTCACCATGAACAAAACACTCATGGACATTGGCCGAGACCTGCAGAATACAATTTCAAGTATGAGAAGCCAGAAAGGCTCACAGTTTTAGCCAGGGATGTTTGAGGCACTGAGTTGCTGTGGCCCTCCGCTCTGGCAGGAAGTCCAACATTTGCAAAAGGAAATCAGAGAAAAGCGACGCCTCTCTGAGGAGAAGGTGATATTTCTCCACCAGCACTTCATACAGCCCCCACGGACGGAGGACAGCAATTCGCCGCAGGTCACCTGTGCAACGATGAACATAAGTAAACCGTTCGTTAATAAAGATACGAATCACTCTTCTTGCATTAAACTGATTCATTTAAACTGATTCATTCAGTTGCCACGGGAAGAAAAATTGGGAAAGACGAATCTAGTGTTCTACTCACCCTTGCGGTTGAAAAACTCAGAGGAATATTTCCCAGACTGAGCAACTGACACTGGAATTTTACCCAGGAGCTCAATAATATGAGCCAGGTGGTCTAAAAATAATAGAAACCATCAACACCACAAATCTACACTTTTCTAAGAAAAGTATTGAGGTTGGCTTTTAAATGACTTACCTTCCTCCAAGGAGAAATTCTGCCCTTCTTTGGGTTCAAATAAGGAATCGCCGGTAGCAAGCTCAAATGCCTGGTGCATATTGAAAAATAAATGATTCATAATATAAAACCACACGAAATCTGATTTTTAAAATTCTGATTCAGGCCACTTCCATAAGTGAAACTAAGGCCCTGTTCCAAATGGCACTTCTTCCTACTAGTCCGCACTTCAGTGACGCAACGCCTCTTTGATTGTTGGCTAGAAGTGTACTGCAGAGCTAGCTCGGCAAAAGTGTGCATGTCAACCGCAAAGGGGGCGCTCGCAAGCACCCTTCTGAAACCTTAAATGACAAATGGGACACCTAACCGTCTTCGTCAACGTTCATCACAATCATGCACTGATGGCAGTAGCACCTCGTTGCAGTACACGTGATCCAGGGGGGCAGAGTTGGATCCAGATCTAAGTGGTGGAGATGGGTAGAATTAGGGGTGGGGTTAGGTATCAGGGGGCGGAGATGAGTAGGATTAGGGGTGGGGTTAAGGGTCAGGGGTGGAGATGGGTAGGATTTGGGTTAGGGATCAGGGGGTGGAGATGGGTAGGATTAGGGGTGGGGTTAGGTATCAGGGGGCAGAGATGGTTAGGATTAGGGGTGGGGTTAAGGGTCAGGGGTGGAGATGGGTAGGATTTGGGTTAGGGATCAGGGGTGGAGATGGGTAGGATTAGGGTGGGGTTAGGTATCAGGGGCGGAGATGGGTAGGATTAGGGGTGGGGTTAAGGGTCAGGGGTGGAGATGGGTAGGATTTGGGTTAGGGATCAGGGGGTGGAGATGGGTAGGATTAGGGGTGGGGTTAAGGATCAGGGGCGGAGATGGGTAGGATTAGGGGTGGGGTTAGGGATCAGGGGCGGAGATGGGTAGGATTAGGGGTGGGTTAGGTATCAGGGGGCGGAGATGGGTAGGATTAGGGGTGGGGTTAAGGGTCAGGGGTGGAGATGGGTAGGATTTGGGTTAGGGATCAGGGGGTGGAGATGGTAGGATTAGGGGTGGGGTTAGGTATCGGGGTGGAGATGGGTAGGATTAGGGGTGGGTTAGGGATCAGGGGGCAGAGATGGTTAGGATAGGGGTGGGTTAGGTATCAGGGGGCGGAGATGGGTAGGATTAGGGGTGGGGTTAGGGATCAGGGGTGGAGATGGGTAGGATTAGGGGTGGGTTAGGGATCAGGGGGCGGAGATGGGTAGGATTAGGGGTGGGGTTAGGGATCAGGGGGCGGAGATGGGTAGGATTAGGGGTGGGGTTAAGGGTCAGGGGTGGAGATGGTAGGATTTGGGTTAGGGATCAGGGGTGGAGATGGGTAGGATTAGGGGTGGGGTTAGGGATCGGGGGTGGAGATGGTAGGATTAGGGGTGGGGTTAGGGATCAGGGGGCGGAGATGGGTAGGATTAGGGGTGGGGTTAGGGATCAGGGGCGGAGATGGGTAGGATTAGGGGTGGGTTAGGGATCAGGGGTGGAGATGGGTAGGATTAGGGGTGGGGTTAGGGATCAGGGGGCGGAGATGGGTAGGATTAGGGGTGGGGTTAGGGATCAGGGGGCGGAGATGGGTAGGATTAGGGGTGGGGTTAAGGGTCAGGGGTGGAGATGGGTAGGATTTGGGTTAGGGATCAGGGGGTGGAGATGGGTAGGATTAGGGGTGGGGTTAGGGATCGGGGGTGGAGATGGGTAGGATTAGGGGTGGGGTTAGGGATCAGGGGGCGGAGATGGGTAGGATTAGGGGTGGGTTAGGGATCAGGGGCGGAGATGGTAGGATTAGGGGTGGGGTTAGGGATCAGGGGTGGAGATGGGTAGGATTAGGGGTGGGGTTAGGGATCAGGGGCGGAGATGGGTAGGATTAGGGGTGGGTTAGGGATCAGGGGGCGGAGATGGGTAGGATTAGGGGTGGGGTTAGGGATCGGGGGTGGAGATGGGTAGGATTAGGGGTGGGGTTAGGGATCGGGGTGGAGATGGTAGGATTAGGGGTGGGGTTAGGGATCAGGGGGCGGAGATGGTAGGATTAGGGGTGGGGTTAGGGTTCGGGGGTGGAGATGGGTAGGATTAGGGGTTGGGTTAGGATCAGGGGCAGAGATGGTTAGGATTAGGGGTGGGGTTAGGGATCAGGGGCGGAGATGGGTAGGATTAGGGGTGGGGTTAAGGATCAGGGTTGGAGATGGGTAGGATTTGGGTTAGGGATCAGGGGGTGGAGATGGGTAGGATTAGGGATCGGGGGTGGAGATGGTTAGGATTAGGGGTGGGGTTAGGGATCAGGGGTGGAGATGGGTAGGATTAGGGGTGGGGTTAGGGATCAGGGGCGGAGATGGGTAGGATTAGGGTGGGGTTAGGGATCAGGGGGCGGAGATGGGTAGGATTAGGGGTGGGGTTAAGGATCAGGGTTGGAGATGGGTAGGATTTGGGTTAGGGATCAGGGGGTGGAGATGGGTAGGATTAGGGGTGGGGTTAGGGATCGGGGGTGGAGATGGTTAGGATTAGGGGTGGGGTTAGGGATCAGGGGTGGAGATGGGTAGGATTAGGGGTGGGGTTAGGGATCAGGGGCGGAGATGGGTAGGTTTAGGTATATGTAAGGGGGGGGGGGGGAGTTAGATCTGGATCCAAATGCTCCCCCTGGACTTTGTGTTCTGCAGTGAGGACCATCTCACTGATGGGAGTCACTCCAAACATGTTACATACCGATAGTTGTTTACATACCGGTTATTCAGTGAATATGGAAGTCGCAATGCAATTATGCCGCCTTCACGTGTTATCGAAATGTTTCCTACTTCCCACTTTTAAAGTCATGGTTTATGAGCTCATCACATTCTAGTGCTTCGCTGACGGAAAGAACAACCATGGAGGACACCGGGTTTATTCTTCCCTATTTATTGGGAAAAAATCTTAATAAAGACAAAATTATATTTAGCGTCCCATTCATTGACAACCACATAGACCTTAACTGCTGACAATTCTGGAATTTCGATCAAATAAAGGCTATTTCCGTGGTGTATAAAACACAATATTCTTCAAATGTTTATTCAAATATATAAATATGCACCACTTTAATGACAAGACAAGGCGATTTAGCTGTTGTGGAATATCTAATAAAGAATCGCAGTAATCGTTCTCCCCTCCGCCATGCTGGCACGCTCATCTCAAGATTTGGGGTATCAAAATTATCCCTGAGCTTCCCAGTGGTATACGACTTGGTCGGGCGTTCATTTAACTAGGAAACTTGTATTTACGATAATTCCGATAGCATGTGAAGGCAGCATTATTCTGATTTCCATTACACAAGAGAAGATGTTAAAACTTCATGCTGATTTGTACTCGGCTTCCGCCAAGATAAGCACAAACTAAGACGTAGCTTTACAGTAACCTATGCTTCTCCATCCATTTACGCTTCTTTCCATATGGTGATGTGAATCTCCTTCTGTCCGGCGTTAACGGCTGCAGTGTATTTGGCACGTCAGCACACACAACGGCTGCAACTACAGTGTGGTCTCCCTAGTGGACCAGCATGACAACCATTTGGATTGAGCCAAGTAGGGGACATCTCTAGGGTCTTCAAGTGGACACCTTCCATCTTCAGTGTTTCGTCGACTAGCCCACGACACCTCAAGAGGGCTCGACAGTGACTCTGGCGTCCCAGAGTCACCCTCCTCCGTTCCCCACTCAACTCAGCCCAGCTTACTGACCTCTACATCCCTCCTGCTGCTGAGACCTAACCACAATCTCACAATCTCTCCGCAACCTAACCATACGCCCAACCCGTTTGAGCCCCGCTGTCTTCGTTAAAGTAGGTTCAGTGGCAAAGTTTCCATATGGCATACTACCTACCGCAAAACACAATACACCACCTCTCATTCACGCAATAAACACACAGGAACGTAATAACTGCAATTACTATGCAAACTATACAAATAAACCAACAGACTCTTCAAGTTTTTCAAGAATTCTACGAAAACGTAGCGTGGCGACCTGTACACAGCCAGCCAGAATATTTCCGTCTCAACCACAGCCATTTGCTGCTCCTCCAGATAAGTTCTTTACTGTGCGACGCAACTCTTGGCCACTGTATCCGACGTCTTAGAGGAACCGGGTTGTAGAGTGTGCCACATTAGCATTAAAGTGTAGCATTATTCCGATTCCGATAGCATGTGTGTGTAAAATGTGAAGAATTGAGCACTAAGGCTTTCAGTGTGAACGTGGCCAAATTGTCTTCTAGAAGGCTCTATATGAAGAGTTCAGATGCAAAAGCCTCTAAATGCCATTTGAAATTTTCTTCTTTAATGATGATTTTTATCAAGCTTGTATATTTAAGTTCAGTGGTTTCACTTAAATGGCAATGATAATTACCTATTAATTGTTATTTAAGTGAAATTACTGAACTTAAATATACATGTTTGACAAAAATCATCATTAAAGAAGAAAATTTCAAATGGCATTTAGAGGCTTTTGCATCTGAACTCTTCATATGTTAAACACTGTTTCCAGCTGTAGACTCACCAAGCAGGCCACACTCCAGATGTCAGCTGGAGGTCCATATTCAGAGCCTAGAAGAACCTCCAGAGAGCGATACTGTCTGGTCTGGATCTCTTGACAGAAGTGTTTGTACTGTAACAACAAGAAAAGAGGTAAGGTAATCTAATCAGATTTAAACATCAAGTGTTTAACATTGTTTTCTTTCAAAGAAAAAATGTTAAGAAAATGTGAAGTGTTGCGGGTCCTTCAGGAGCAGAGTTGAAGAAAACTCAGTTAATCAAGAATATCCTTTCACAAGACCAGGCTGCACATTCTTTAGCTTTATAAAATCATTGTATGGATTCACTGAATGTGTCGCACCACCCAACATGAGCTGCCGAGGTCTGCAATCTTCACTGTTATTTTATCCAAGTTTCCAGGTTTTCCAGCTGCTCCTACACAAAAGAAGTAGATGATGTCGGTCTTCTCTCTAAATTCATGTGGTTTAACATAAATGTTACATTTGATTTACTTTACATTTCTGTTTGCAGATATTCTTACCAGAATCCTGGAGTACTGTGGTTTTAATAGCTGAAGTGTGCATTTGTAGTGCGCCCCCTGGGGGAGGTGATGGGGACTGCGGTGTGAGACACAGCAGTATGTTCTCAGGCTTGATGTCTGTGTGTATGATCTTACAGTGGCAGTGAAGATACTCCAGACCTTCAAGCACCTGCGACGGATACAGTTTTTAGGTCTTCTGCTATTTAAAATAGAATTAAATACTACACATAGTGTCTCACCTGAGTGATGATGTGTTTGACACAGGTGAGAGAGAGACCTGGATTACCAAAACACATCTGCCAACAGTGCAAGTCCGGCCCCAGCAGCTCCAATACCAAACAAATATCTACATAGTGGTCAAGAGCCAACTAACTGTGTTGCACCCCAAGTATACACCCCAACTTTCCCACAGCACAGAATTTATACAGTCCTACTTCTGGTTGTTGAATTTGACCGCACCTATGATAGTACATGTTAGAGATTTCGGTAACACTTAGTGCACACGGTACAATATGTGTGCACTAATAAGCATTAATTCATGCTTAACTAATTCACAGATAATACTGAATTAATGTGTAACTAATGATTCATTAATGATTACCACATAGGAACTAATTAAAAGTCTGTAAGGTTAATGTATTAGTTCATACATGAAGAGTTATTAATTAAATAGGTAATTGTGGATTAATTCCATAATAACTCATTTTTAACTAATAATGTTAATTAATATGTTAATTACAAGAATGAGCCAAAGCCTTGTATTTCAACTTACAGATAATATGACAGGTACACTATTATTACTTCATTGTTAGTGCAAATTCATGTTAAATTACTACAATTACTAAATGATTAGTTAATAATGATGTGCCCCAACAAGTAAAGTCATAAAATAATGATACCTTTGCAAATAATTAGCTAATGATTAATTAAAGCAGACAACTGGAAGTTGAAGTGCATAGCTTTGACTAATTGTGGTAATTAACACATTTACACTATTAGTTAATAAAATATGTTATTAAGGTATTAATACACAATGACACATTGAATTAATAGCAAATCATGTATTACTTAATCTATTCATCATATTGACTCTTTATTAGTTGCTGATGCAGTAATCATTAATTAATGGTTTAGTTCTTCATGAGTTATACATTAACTCATGATTATCTGTGCATTAGTTAAGGATGAATCTGTGCATTAGTAACGGGTGCATATTAGTGCACCCGTATTGTAAAGTGTTACGAGATTTCTAGTGACTCTTTCAGGTACACCAATACGGCAGTAAATGGCGACAAGTTTTAATGTTTTAATGAGTCATTTGAATCAGTCACTCAAACCATTTGTTAAAACTCACTGATTCATTAGGAAAGAAACAACACTGTGTGTAACTCGGAGATGCCCAGTGGTTTACTCGGAGCAGAAATTGATAAAGTAAGAGTTAAAACTGTGTCTAAAATGTACAATCTGATCAAAAACGGACATTCATTTTACCCGTAGGAAAATGTGCTGAATAGCGTTTAATGTCCAGTGTTTTCAAAAGTTTGCAAAATATTTAAAAAAAAAAATAATTTTCAACCCATCCGCCTAAGACCTTCAAATTGAAGTCGATATTAGATCTCAAGGAGTCTTTAAAAAAAAAAAAAAAAAAAAAAAGCTGTGAGTAGACACCTGGGCGGCTAAGATATTGACCAAATCTTGGCTGTGAGTCTCAACTGGAAGTCAGTTTTGAACTTTGCGTTTTTTGAAAAGTTTTAGTTTTTTTTCCCCATCAGAATAGACCCAGAACTTTCAACGGCTATAACTTCGTTCATTTTGAACATTCAGGAATAATTTTCCATAACTTAATGAGAACGTTAGCAAAAAGTTCTTAGTTGTTAGATGGGGTGGTGCTTCATTTCACATAGATCATTTTAGGAAAGGATACGGATCCCATTCACACCAGCTATCTTAAACTCATCCAGTAATTGCACTATACGTCTTTTAAGAGGGTTACGGACTGTGGGACCACTGGCCTGGAGAGAGAGGGAAGAGGTGTACAGGCACACAGTGAAAGAGAAACAGACAATTAGAGAGAGAAAGAGCGAGAGACACTCACACATCGCAGTAATGTCAGTTCATCTTGGCCAGCCTGAGTGAATCCAGCTCCGCTCTTTAACACCTTCACTGCCACATGCCTGCCTGACCTGCAAAACTACGAACACTTAAGAACTTTTAAAAACATGTGAACACTTACACGCCTCAGTACACGGAAATGCATAGATATGTGGTGCGAACACAAAGTTTCAGTACCTGAGGTCAATGCAGAGCCATACAGTGGAGAAATAACCCCAACCCAGCTTTGACAGAACCTTGTATCTCTTATTAAACACATCTCCCACCTCGACTGGGTGATACCCACCTATAGAGAGATTTCAATGAACTGTTATCATTAATAAAAAAAAAAAAAATTAAATAATAAAAAAAAAATTAAACAAAATACCATAGCAGTAATCTTTTGGATCTTCATGCTCCTCTGTGTAATCCGTTTCAAGATGTTCATAATTCCTTATTTTTTTCATTTTATAGTCCATAACTACATGAGACCTGCATTAAAACACAGATATTATCGTCTTAAAGGGATAGTTCACTTTGAAATTAATTTTTTGTATGTTTTAGCTTACTTCAAGGGCATCCAATATGTAGGTGTCTTTGTTTCCGCAGTAGTTCCAATTTTGATATTTTTAGATCAGTCATATAATGGAGGTCTATGGTCACCACCTCAAAGAGCATGCAAAGAGAAGTCCAGATTAAACATGATTTAATGACTCGTAAATGTAAGTACACATTGATGGCCTAAGACACGAAATGAGCGGTTTGTGTGAGAAAAAGAACAGTATTCACTTCCGGCGCTTTCCGATGCTTGCGCAGACCGAAGCACCCGCGTCTTCAGATCACTTGGACGTAGCTGTGGTTACAAGAGGTAAAAACGATATAAATATTGTTCGTTTTCTCACACAAACCGCTCGTTTCGTGTCTTAGGCCATCAATGTGTACTTACATTTATGAGTCATTAAATCATATTTAATTCGGACTTCTCTGTGCATGCTCTTTGAGGTGGTGACCATAGACCTCCATTATATGACTGACAGACAAGAACGGTTTGACCTAAAAATATCAAAATTTAAAATACTGTGGAAACAAAGACACCTACATCTTGGATGCCCTTGAGGTAATCTAAAACATACCAAAAATGAATTTCAAAGTGAAATCCCTTTAAAAAGACATCTGACTATTCATACATCCATAATCACACATATATGACTAATAGTGAGAATCAAAAATCTTTGCAAATGTGTTTGAAAGTATATTGAGTTTCCTGTGAGTACAAATAATTTAGTGGTTGCTGATGTAATGGAGCATATACAAAAGACCTATTCTTAGACAACCACGTCAAGTATAGCTCTTCTATCCTGACACATTTGGCTCACGAAGGGTCAGATAAGCCAGCACCGCATTTAGATCTCAACACCCGCTGGTGTGGGACTTCACAGCCGGATCTCTGGACCGTGACCTGAAAAATATCATGCCACTTTCTGTCCGTCACTCACGTCACACAAGATTTCATAGGGTGATGTGAGGGACACATTCCCACAGTCAAACAAATCTTGACTGATAGTGAAAGAAACTTTACTGACACATGCAAAGAAGCACCATGGTAATATCACTGCATGAATATGGTATGAATATGCATATAACATATAATTATTGTGATGTATGTGTTTAATCAGTGGAGGGGACAGCAGCATAATTTACCTCATCTACTACAGAAATGTTGTTATTAATGTAAATGTGTTATTGTGTCAAGTCCTTAAAGGGATACTCCACTTTTTCTTTTGGAAATAGGTTCATTTTACCACTCCCCCAGAGTTAAACAGTTGAGTTTTACTTTTTTCGAATCCATTCAGCCGAATTACTGATTTTTAGAAGAATATCAGTAACCAGTTTCTGGTCCCATTGACTTCCATAGTATATATTATATAGCATATTTCCTACCATGGAAGTCAATGGGACCAGAAACTGTCTGGTTACTGATATTCTTCTAAATATCAGAAAATCGGCTGAATGGATTCAAAAACAGTAAAACCCAACTGTTTAACTTTGAGGGAGTTGTAAAATGAGCCTATTTCCAAAAAAGTGGAGTATCACTTTAAAACAGCACTAAACAATTAGATATTCTCGAATGATCAAAGGCTGTACGTGATCTGCATTCTGAGAATCACTAGAGACCAAATAAGATTGAAACCATAAAAAAGGTAACGTGAAACTCTCAGCTAATTTAAAGCACATACTGTATCTATAAAACTACATAACTCAACTATATATAAAGCAGACATTTATGTTATGTAAGGATTAATTTTTGCCAGAACCAATTGGCCAGTACAGTATAGACCAGGGTTCACAGTCCGAAAATTGCAGGCAAACTCTTTCATTTACAGTATTTTCTTATTTCTTTTACAAGAATTGAATATGATTTACCACATGGCTACCACAGACTGAATCTCTGATCCAAAAACAACTACAGCAGCTTAGATTTGAAATATTTTTCTGAATGCCACGCTGAAACATATCCAGAAGCATGCTGAGTACCTACTCACAATTTGCTGTAGATATTGGTTGTGTTTGTTTGCAAGATTTCATCAGAGGTCTGAAGCTGCTCATAGATGCTCCTCTGGCTTTATGGGGAGATCTCCTCTAAACCCTCCACAACCCTTTCATTTTCTACACCCTATCCCCGCCCCCCTCTCATATATTCTTAGGAGACAGGTGTCTGTGCTGCTCATTTTATCTAAAGCATACGCAAAAGAAACTTTGTGGCCCTGCAAAGAAAAAACTAAAGCAGCAAATACATTAACCACAAGAAGCAATATAGTATAGTGGCAATAATTCAAAATGAAAGCGTTTGAAACATATTCAGAGCAGTAAATATTATGCAGGATTTATAATGGAGTTAAACAAGATACTCACACACGACATTACCCTCTATAAATAGACAGTATTCACAAAAACATGTACACGTCTGAAGCCAGACCCTGTTGGAGCAGTCTGGAGCACAAGTTGCTGTGGTTTCTGTGCATTGTCTTGCTTGTAGTGCTGAAAATACCCACCAGTCAGCTGGAGAACAGAGAGAGAGAAAGAGAGAGAGAGTAGCTGTCTGTGGTTAATATGAGCCTGTTAACACCTCCTGGCATGACAAGTAGTGTAAAAATGAGGTTCACGTTCACCTGATCATCAATGGTCTTGTCCACTGTTCCACACCCCATGGTTTTGTCCTCTGGTTTACGTACCATTTCCTTTAGTCCACTGATCCACGGTCCTCTGCTCCAGTCCTGGTCCACCACCAGTGGACTATCATTACAAACTAAATGCAGGTCTGTATTCCAAGTCTGATTCTGTTACATACCCTGATTCATTTGGAAATGCACCGCATTATGCACTGTAAAAAAATATTGGGTAACACTTTACAATACGGGTGCACTAACATGCATTAATTCATGCTTAACTAATGCACAGATAATCATGAGTTAATGTATAACTAATGAAGAACTAAACCGTTAATTAACGATTACTGCATCAGCAACTAATAAAGAGTCAATGTGATGAATAGATTAAGTAATACATGAATTGCTATTAATCCAATGTGTCATTGTGTATTAATTCCTTAACAACATATTTTATTAACTAATAGTGTAAATTAATGTGTTAGTTACCACAATTAGTCAAAGCTATGCACTTCAAACTTCCAGTTGTCTGCTTTAATTAATCATTAGCTAATGATTTGCAAACGTATCATTATGTTATGACTTTACTTGTTGGGGCACATCATTATTAACTAGTCATTTAGTAATTTGCACATGAATTTGCACTAACAATGAAGTAATTAATCATGTATTAATGCATATTAGTGTACCTGTCCAACCCGATCTCACGGGAATTCGTACGAATTTTACGAGATGGCTAATTCGTAACAATCTGTACGACCTCACTCGTACGAATTAGTACGATTTAGCTAAATCGTACATATTTTACGAATTAGCCAATTCGTATGAATTCGTACGAATGACCTACCCCTGACCCCGCCCCTAAACATAACCGTCACGTGGGTTTAGATAAATCGTACAAATTTGTACGAGTGAGGTCGTATGAATTAGTACGAATTAGCCACTTTTGAATCACTCGTACGAATTCGTACGAATTGGTCGTGAGATAGGGTAGACCTGTCATATTATCTGGAAGTTGAAATACAAGGCTTTGGCTCATTCTGGTAATTAACATATTAATTAACACTATTAGTTAAAAATATTAGTTGTGATGGAATTAATCCACAATTACATATTTAATTAAAAAAAATTCATGTATGAACTAATACTGTCATGAATCGCGCCTCCGTGGCTCTCTCCGCTCAACCCAGAGCTCCGTCTCCTGAGTACTGAACTCCATTTCCCAGAAAGCCCCGTACCTAGGTCTAATCACCAACACAGGTGTTCCTCATTTACCTCTCCATATAAACTGCTCTCTGACTCTCTATCAGTGCGAAGTCTTGTTTTGCCCCGGCGACATTTCTGAGCGTTTCTATACTGATTATCTGGATTGCCCGTGTATCGACCCGTGACTGTTCTAGGACTTTGATTCTCTGTTTGCTGCCTGCCCCGACCCTTGCCTGTCTCTCTCTGGATTACGATTGTTGCCGCCTATCCTGACCCCTGCCTGGTATTGTTTATGCTCTGGATTGCCTACTCCATATTGAATGCTGATCGTTGACTTCTGCCTGTCTTACTACTCTTAATAAACATATACTGCACATGGATCTGCACGCTTCTGACTCTGCTTCACAGAAGACTTCGCCAATACAAGATCCAGCAGCCATGCATCATCTAGCTTCAGAACTGACTACTCAAGCTAATATCCTGGCATCCCATCAACAGCAACTTGTCAAACTAACTACACTTACCGAACAGCTGGTGAAGTCCGTTCAATTACTCACGCCTCCTGCTGGTGCTGCAGCTATTCCTTCGGCTGAATCCGACCCTTCTCCTCCTGTCGTGGGTAATTCATCCAACAATCCCCGCTTATCTCTACCTGAGAAATATGATGGATGTCCCTCCAAGTGTAAAGGTTTTTTGCTGCAATGCTCCATTTTCATTAATCAGCAGCCCCAGTTCTACCAAACAGACGATAGTCGAATTTCGTTTATATGCTCCTTGTTAACTGGCAGAGCTCTGGAATGGGCAACAGCTCTCTGGGAAGGAGGCAATCTATCTTTTCCATCTTATCACAGTTTTATGCAACAATTCAAGGAAGTTTTTGAACATCCCGCCGGAGGGAAAGAACCGGGTGAGCTGCTGCTTTCATTACGCCAGGGCGCTTCCTCAGCGGCGGATTACGCTCTCTCCTTCCGCACTCTCGCTGCGCAGACGGGCTGGGGTGATGACCCACTCAAATTACTATACCGAAAAGGTTTGAATACTGACCTACAAGGGGAACTGGCATGTCGGGATGAAGGAAAATCGCTTCACCAACTTATTGATCTATCCATTCGTCTGGATAACTTAATGCGAGCTCGGCGAGTGCCACAGACACACAGATTCGAAGTTCAATCCGCTGTTGGCTCGGAGAACGAACCCAT